TGTGTGCTCGAGAGTGCAGTTGCGTGCGTGTTGCGCGCAGCTGCGTGCGATGTGTGCGTAGTTGCGTGCAGTGCGTACGAGTTGCGTGCCTTGCGTGCCACGTGCGTGCCATCTGCGTGCATGTGCGTGCCATCTGCGTGCGCTTGCGTGCATGTGCGTGCACCTGCGTGCACTTGCGTGCATGTTGCGTGCCGAGTGGCACGCAGGTGGCTGTGCTTGCGTGCCACGAGGATCGCAAATACGGATGTAGACATTCATCACGCACACAGAGAACTAGAAATTGTTGTCCATTGTGCATCTACGGTTTAAATACGATAGTACATGTTATTTCTTAGTGTCCACGTATGTTATTTCCAGTCCACAGCCTTTCTTACCATGCACGCAGCTGCACGCAAGTGGCACGCAGATTTCCAGTTGCCCCAATCAAGTGCGTCACGTACTCGTTTTATTAATTCAGATTTTACTGTCCATGGATTTCTTCCTGTTCGTGCCTGATGTATTACTTCTGTCTTCGGATTGGACAGTAGCGGCGCCTATATTATCTGACTCACCTGTCGCTCTCGACTTCGCGGACAGCTATTAAGCGCCTTACGTATAAGTTTGCTTTACTACTACCTCCAGGACCAGGAAGACTCCCTCTATTCGACTTCGCTCCTGCGACTCGGATGTCATTGGAATTCCTTTAACTTTCAGTAGAGTAGTGACGGGTATAATTCGACTATTCTCTACCTTCTCTGAGCCTTAGTTAAACGTTCGGAACACAGAAGAGGATACGGATTTCCGTGGTCATGAGTTGTGAGGTCCGAGAAGCTAGCGCTAAGAAGAGTTCTTCATGATCACTCTTCGTCGTATGACGCTTTCTTCGTCTGCCGCTTCGACCTTGCGGGTCACTGGTTCCGCCCTTAAGCGCTTCATCTTTAAATTTAGGCCGATATCTGGAGAGCCATCGAACTACTGTAGCGAAACCGAACACATATTCTCTTGACACGGCGCTAGGGAGAGATAATGCCCGGAATCTCCAAGTTTCTACAATTCCATTTTTGCCTGGAGGAAAAATACACGGACGCTAGCCTGACAGCCCACCGGTCTTGCCGAAATCGAGATCCTTTGAAAAATATAGGAGTCAGCTCCTGAGGCTTGAATCTCGATCCATATGACTGCAAGAGAACACAACGCATAATACACAGGACAGAGCAATTCTATGTTAGCGAGAATGAAGCTTCTATTCCTCGTTCTGGGTTCAAGGCCACATTATGAGAGGCAATGCCCGCAAGAGTGTTTCAAACGTGCCGCGTGCGCATATTGGGGCCAGCATTGGTCATTTGTCAACAGTCCTGTTAGGCTTGTAGGCTATTTCCTAGGGGTAGGGTAACGTTGCATATGCAAGCAAGAAATATACAGAGATTTTATAAAGATATATATAGAAGCTTAAATCTTTATCACAGCTTCCTTCGTTTGGTCGCGCACTCCTTTCAAGAACTGGACGAGGTCCGTGCCTCCGGTGCCTTTGAGGCCTTCCTGATCCTTGCCGATGGTGTCGTCATTAGGCGCTTGCTGAACATAGTCTGAAGCCGTGGGGATTGGTTGACCGCTCTCCTGGAGGGCCTTTTGGGCATGGCGAGCCGGACCAATAACGTATAAGGTGACGATAATCATGTGAGCGTCGCGGAACTCTTTCAGCGCCATGACTGCGCCGTTGTAGGCGTCGAGAAGAGCGGCCCCGTCCTTCGTCTGTCCATTATCACTCGTGGCAGCGGTGAAGACGAGGTCGCGGAGAGGGCGGGGGTTGTTTGCAAGGTGGGCGAGGAATGCGCGGTGGTGCCTGGGCATGTAAGTCTGCATACGCTTCAGGAGCTTCGAAGTCTGGTTGACTCCGAGGAAGACGTCGAGCGCGTGGATGAGCGTACTCTGGCCGGCGCTCGCCCCCGATAGCTCCTTCGGTGCTACAAGGTTCGGGTCCTGCTCGATCCCTTCGAAGACCCACTTCCGTCCCGCCTGCGAATCTTCCCCACGGAACCATGGCCGGATGTCGTTGTAGAACCGGTGTGGGTCGCATCCCTCTCGCACGCTCAGCAGGAGCTCGCGCAGCCGCTGGATGACGTCGGCGAGTTCGCGCAGGTAGCCCGTGATTCGGCGCACTGCGATCTCGTCGCCTACGAACATTTCGTCCATGGTGGACCGCATAAGCTCGAGGGCTTCGACACCTGCGAGCTCCATGCGCGCGGGGACGAGGTAGAACTCGGCCTCGTCGGTGGTGGAGGTGAAGGAGATCTGGCAACGGCGCAAAGCGGCGATGGTCGGCAACTCCTCTGGATTCTCCGAGTCCAGACGCCAATTATAGAGGACGTCATCGGAGTATGTCAAAACAGGGGGTAGCTGGAGCTGAGCCGACACCTGCAGTAAAGGGAGGGTGATGGGAGGTGGGATACAGATCGCCTCCGAAGGGGGCATGGAGTGGATATAAAAGTGCATGATCCATCCCAAGACTTGATGAGCCCGGCGAAGGGCAATCTCGGAATTTTTCAACTCGTCGATGGAGAGAATGGGAAGCTGCAGGAAAATCCTTCAGGGATCACCCTTCGAAAATAAGAGATCCGGCTTACTTTTCGCACTCGCTCTCTCCATTCCTCTGACTTCTTCTTTTCGCCGTCCGATAGATCCGGTTTCTCTCCGAGCTGAAGCTTGGAGGCGATGGCGTCTTCCAGCACTACTTCCCAGCACTCCAATGTCGCGGGAAGACGAGAAATCGGAGCCTGAGGTGGCAGAAAACCGGTGCGCGTGTCGACGTCGAAGTCATGGGCAGCAAGGGTGGTGGTATCAGGTACATTGGATGCAGTGCTGCTGAGGCTATCGGGTCGAGGAAGGGACAGAAAGTGATTTGGTCCAAGATGGTCCATTCTGAAGGCCTTCAGAGTATTCTGGTTGAGACGAAGTAGAAATACAGCAAGGAGAGGGATTTGTCAAGGAAGAAAGTGCTGACTCAACGAAGGCTTAAAAGTTATTCAGAGATGATGTGAATGCAATCTAATCTAGACCCGTTTTTGTTTCGCCAAGCCAGAGTGGAACCGGAACCGGGACACCCGCATCCGTTCCGCCAATCTCCGAGACGTATTACTGATCATGACGCC